TTGGAAAGAAATTAGACCCCAAGGCAAACAGCCTCCTTTACCAGCAACTGTGCCAGGTATATAGGCCACTTTTATCTTTGTGCCATTATGAACTGCATTTAAGTCAGTGCTCAGTTTATCAGTTTATTAAGTTGCCCAAGTTAATTTCTTTATTATTTCATGGAAATCTGAATCAGTCAGACAGACAGTCACACACTAGCCAAGGGGACCAGCTGAAAGCCACCAGACCTGGGCAAGCAGGAGCAGTAATACACAGAGAGGCGGGAAGCGTCTGGAAGGCCCAGCACGGAAGGGGGCCCAGCACAGTAAGTCCCACTCAACATTCGACGAGGCTTCTGGGCAGAGATCGACTTACAAGTGAAGAGCCTCCAGCCTGCCTAGGCTTCCAGGCCTCCTGCCCCGACTTGCAAGCTCTGAGCTCCCCAGTGTCACAAGAAGCTCCTAAGAAGATAAACACAGCCCCAGTCGGAGAGAAAACTGACACTGGATCCCAGCGTGGCTGGAGACGCACAGGGGAGAGGAGTGACAGAGAAGGGCGGTGCTTGTGCTGCATAAGACGCCTTTCCCTTAAAGCTGGGAAGAGGGGAGCTTACCCGCTGGGCTGGAGAGGCTGCGGCCAAACTCGGCCGCCCGTGCCCTCCAAGCAGCTGCCGCCTGGCAGTGGGGGCTGAAGTCCTCCAGCGCCTTCATCAAAGCACTCAGCACCAGTACCCGCTCCAAGCAAGACCTGCCAAGGACTTCTGGGGGCCTGAGCCAAGGACCCAAGCGGAGGCCCTGCTTTCCTGGCCAAGGAGACCCAACCCTGGCCAGCTGGGAGCTTGTTTGCCCAACAAAGAGACAAAGGCCTTTGTGGGGCCAGGACTTCGGGTGGTCACCAGCTCGTGCTCTCGGCCGTTCCCACGTGCTAGGCACTGTGCTGGGCACTGGACATGGATCCGCTCTCAGAGCCTCAAAACTGGGGGAGCTGAGGCACAGAGAGGTTGTCTGCCTACAAACCAAAGCCCGGAAGGGGCAGAGGCAGGATTTGTACTCAGGGGTCTGCACGCTCGAAGACGTCCACACCCTAAGCACACCCAACACACACTCATTTAAACACACGGCTACAGGGGAAAGGAGGAGGAAAACGAAGTGGGCCCAGGATGGACGTCGGCTCCTATAAACATTCAACGCCCAGGCCCTAGGAACGTGGCTCTAACTGGAGACTCCACCCCCGCCTGGTTTTCTGTGACCTGACCCCGGCCCCATCAGTGGGTTTGCAGTTTCCACTATCTCAATTAATAAAGATATTATTTTTAAAAAGACTTTTTATTGATTTTAAGAGAGAGAGGAGGGGGAGGGGGAGAGAGAGAGGGGGGGAGAGAGAGAGAGAGAGAGAGAGAGAGAGACAGACAGACAGACAGACATTGGTGTGATAGCGAAACAGATCAGCTACCTTCTGCACGCAACCTGGCATGTGCCCTGATCGAGAATTGAACCAGCAACCTTTTAGTTCATGGATGATGCCCAACCAACTGAGTCACCCTGGCCAGGGCTAATGACGATATTATTAACCACGTTTAAAGCCGTCCCATAGCTCAGAAAGGACATCCAGGGCCCACATGGCACAACTATGGGGCCGCCACTCAGCGAGGCAGCAGGGCAGCCCTAATGGCCATGCAGGGAGCACTCACAGAGACCACAATGAGAACGGCACCCCCTGGAGTTGTGCAGTGTGTGACCTGCACAACCTTGCACGGCAGCCCTGGGTGCCTCCTTGGTGTTCTTCCCATCACTGATATTAAGCTACAAGGAAGATTTCATTTGTATCACACTGACTCGGGCAGCTAAGCTTTGGGAATGTTCTGAACCTCGCAGAAGTCCTGTGGCTGGGAATCGGCAGTGCTGAGACTCAGGAACTTGAACCTGGGTCTCTGACACCAAGCCATGCCCCTGCTTATCCCCAGATGGTGCTGCATGTCTCCTACGGAGGCTGCGACAGCACCAAGACAATTGTCCAGGATTGCCTGTTCCCATCAGTGATGATGAATTAAGAGTGTCCTCTCGCTGGATTTTATACCACATGCAAGTGACACATGAGAAATGGAGCTTCCTTTGACTAAACGCGTAAGAAGATTGGAGAGAGCTGAGCTGGGGGCTTGCTGCCCTTCAAGGGAAGGATGCCTCATGGCACGAGTTTGGTTGCACCCTCTCCCACCGGCTGGAGAAGATGTTCAGTCCAAGGTTTGTGCCTTGCCTTCCAGTTCCCCCACAGCCCTGGAGCAACACTCCCTGCAGCCAGCAGGTGACCACACCCCAGGTGGGCACTCGGAAAGCTGTGCTGCACAGCTTTCACCTTGACCGAACCACCGGGCCCACAACCAGGGTTCTTGGTGTGACAGCTTCCTTCCCATGGCAAATGCTGCTGTCCCCACGTATCAGACATTTATGGGGAACTGACGGACTGCAATGGGTAATTACGCTCCAAGGCAATAGGTGTGTCCCCTGACCTGACCGCAGCCCACTGTCCTTCTCCAAAGGCCCTGCCCCAGCTCGCACTGTGGTGCAGGAGGCAGGGGGAACAGTGGAGAAGACAGAAGGACTCAAGAGCTCTGGAGAGAGGAAGCGACAGGGTTGCCTGCCTGTGTGTGTGTGTGTGTCTGTGTGTGTGTGTGTATATAAGAGAATCATGGTGCCCGTGTGTGCGTGTGTAGCTGTATGTATGTGCCTGTGTGTATCTGCGTGCTTGTGCGGGTATCCTTGTATGTGGGGCATTGCCAGGTTCGTCCCTGTGTGTCCCTGCGTTTGTGTGTGTCCACATGTCTGAACGTGCTCACCCTCTGTGCCCGCCCCGCTGTGCAGCTGGCAGGGCATAGCTGGCCCAGGGCTGTGCCCGCCCACCGGATGAGAGGTGGCAGGTGTGTAATAAACCATTAGTCACTGTCACGTTTCTGAGCAGCAGCGGCCTCCCCGGGAGAGGCTGGCAGCAGGATGGAGCTCCTGGCGGGTCTCTGGCTGTGAAGCTGCACCCGCTACTCTCCAGGCAGGGCTGCAGCCTGATGGGGAGCAGCTGGCAGACGGGGGCCCTGTGCCCTGCCCTGCCCCAGGCAGCCCCAGGGCAGGGGGCTGGGCCTTGTGTGTGCCAGCCGGGAGGGTGGGTAGTGTCCCTGAGGGTCATGGGTTTGAAGGCTATTACCCAGAGCTGAGGGGCAGCTGGGTGGAGGCAGATCACGGTAACAGCCTCAGGGATGCTCCACGCTGCCTGGAGGAGGCGCCAGCTGGGTAACTAGGCATTATAATAACAATAGTGCTGACACCAGCCAGCACTATGGGCACTCAGGGTGCCAGGACCTGCTGGCACTGAATGCTCTTCATGTCCCGGTTAACTATTCTCACACCTGCCTTCATTCCCACTTCTCAGATGAGAAAACTGAGGCATGGAATGGGAGAAGACATTCATCCAAGGCTCTGAGTGTGCTGGGGAGCCGGGGGAATGGCTCCCCCTAAAGCATCCCTGCCCACCACCTGCAAGCCCCCCCCCCCCCTTGCCCCCTGACCACCTCACCCC